AATCATTTACGGTCAGCTAAGCATTCAGGGGTCCGCCTTAGGGCCCTAGGCGGGGTCGAGGCCCGGCCCCCCACTCAGTGTTATTTAGGGTACGCATATGCTCGTTCCCTCTTTTTGAAAGCACCCCCTATCTGAGGACTGCCAACATTTCCGAACCCCCCTTTCGCGGGCTTTTCGCGGGCTTTTCCTGCCATGGAGACCCCCCTAAATCAGGAAAAATGCTCAATGTACCCCCCTAAATTCTGAATAACTTCTCAGGAGTCCAAAGAGATGAGAGAAAAAAAGGAAAAACACCCCCTTTTTAAAGAAATCTCCGGGTGAAAAGTCAAATACAACCCTTTTTTTACAATTCTCGGGCCGGACTTTGTCGCACGAAAAGCACCCCTTTACCGGATATTTTGGCAACACGCATGCGGTCATTCCGACCCCTGAGTGGGGGGGCCGGGGGTCGAGGGGGCAGAGCCCCGGAAGTTCAGGGGTTTTAGGCATTTAATTACGGTCAGATTAGCATTATTTTGATACCTAATTGTGACACTGGCAGGTCACTAATTGGCGTGGGGTTCAGGGGCGGAGCCCCCTGAAGCTCAAGGGTTTTAGGCACTCAATTACAGTCAGATGATTATCAAGGGGCCCGCCTTAGGGGTCTTGGTTGGGTCCAAGGGGCAAAGCCCCCGGAAGCTCAGGGGTTAATTACGGTCAGATGAGCATTTTTTGATACCTTATTATTTTGTGACACTGGCAGGACACTATTTGGCGTGGGGTCCAGGGGGCAGAGCCCCAAGAAATCAGGGGTTTTAGGCATTAAATTACCGTCAGGTGAGCATCTAAGGGCCCGCCTTGGGGCCCTAGGTGGAATCCAGGGGGCAGAGCCTTCAGGGTTTTAGGCATTTAATCATGGTCGGATGACCATATTTTGATACCTCATTATAAGGTGACACTGGCAGGGGGGGAGGTCATTTTGGCCCCATCCCGCTCCACACATTATTCGCGGGACTATATACCTGCAACTGATCTCTACCTTTTCTTTTCTTTTTCCTCTATATCTCCTCTTTTCCTTTTTTCTTTCCCTTTCCTTCCTTCTCTTTTATTTTTTGATTGGGGGGAGGCAAGTCCTTTACCCCCCCCCTGATCTCCTTCTTCCCTCTTTTTTTCTTCTTCCTCTTCTTTTTTTCCCTTTCTCTTCTCTTTCCCTTTCTCTTCTTTTTCTTCTCTCTCTCTCTTTTTTTTTGCGGGGGGGGGGGGCAAGGCCCGCTCGGCCCCCCTGGATACGCGCCTGCATTGTATAATGCTTTACTTGCAGATGGTTTACCCAGTAAGATGCATAATTATGCTTACTTGCATTGTGGTCAGTTCTTAAATATTGATGAGCTGTTTGAAATTGACTAGGAGGTATGCGCGTATTGGGAAATGTGGCTTGCTGCTCTACTTTTTTTGTTAAACTTCCCACGATATGTAATGAGTGTTTAGTGTACATTATGGGACGTACAGTGATAGATGGTTATTTCAGTATATTCGAAATGACTTTTAGGTAACTCCTTTTTCCTCCCACATCATCAACATTCTTTAATTTCATTTCATCTACAATATTTCATGAAATGCATTCAGAAAATGAAGAAAAATAGAAACGAAAATAACCCGTGATAAAAAATATTGTCGGCGAATCATTTGTCGTAGTACTAGTATCATTTGTATTTTATGGGACACTTTTTGGGCGGAGCAAATGTCACCGGAAGTGTCGCTTCATGCGGAGCAAATGTAGGAGGAGCAATTGTCGGCGGAGCATCTGTCGGCGGAGCAATTGTCGGCGGAGCAAATGTCGTCGGAGCAAATGTCACCGGAGCAAGTGTCGCTTCATGTGGAGCAAATGTCGGAGGAGCAATTATCGGCGGAGCAAATGTCGGCGGAGCAACTGTCGTTCGAGGAGCATTTGTCACCGGAGCAATTGTCGCGTTTTGCGGAGCAATTGTCGGCGGAGCAAATGTCGGCGGAGCAATTGTTGGCGGAGCATCTGTCGTCGGAGCAATTGTCGGCGGAGCAAATGTCGGCGGAGCAAGTGTCGGCGGAGCATTTGACGTCGGAGCAAATGTCGCGGATCAAATGTCGCGGAGCAATTGTCGCGTTTTGCGGAGTAAATGTCGGCGGAGCAATCGTCGGCGGAGCATGTGTCATGGAACCCTAGTTTGCTATAGAGGTCGCAAGTAGCTACACGAGCTACAACTTATACGTGCGCTTATAACTAACCCCAACGAATAACTTTAGTCGTTCTGAGAGATTTATTGCATTCTTGCCCATCAATCCATAAGATTCCCCACCAAAGTGTATGAGAAAGACATAAAGCAAGTTTAAAGTACAGCTTCTCAGCAAGACATGGGCATCGCCATTTTCTTGATTGCACGACATACTACGCGGAGTCGTTTATCAACTAAATGTATTTAGATTTAGGGGTGCTTCCTTCTCAGGTGTTCTGGTGTTAAAGCATGTCATTCATCTGCTATTATCCTCTGTATTCAAATTGTCAGAAATAAGTAGGTGCTGTTCTGGGCGAAGGTTTCGAATAAATGAATAGATTTTTCAACCGCTATATTTTAATAAGTGACTTTTAGATAAATGAGTTACAATATTATTGTTACCCTATTATATATTTTTCACCAAATGTAATTTTTATCTACTCGGCTATGATCTTCCCTCATTGAAAAGTAAAGGTTTTGTTATTGAATTCAAAAGTCTTTCCAATTAAAGCTTGGTGTATGATACATGTACAACTCCGCCTGGTACGTCACATTTTCAAGAAAATGGCTGCGCCCATGTCATGCTAAAAAAACCCCGAATCATACCAATAAATCTTCATTTATATATCTCTTGAACACGTTCGTAAGATTTATTGTACATCAATGGCAGGAATTCATCTCGTTTTTTAGAAAACCTAGTTCTCCTTTAACAGTTCGCTCATATTACATACTCAACATACTCTTCGTCTATACTACACATTTATGTCACATTTCACATTCTTTTTCATGTACGAGCAATATTCATACTGGCCTACGTGTCAGAAACACCTTATTTTTGATAAAAGAAAGGATAAGGGAATTATTTGCTATTGCTATTGTATGCGAATAATATCGCATTTTTATTACTTGTTGCCATATACTAAGCTAACTTCTAGTGCAATAACATTTTCTCAACTACGTACATTTTCATACTTAACAACATTAACAACGTTTTCAATGAATCAGAAACATTTCAATTTACTTAGTTACAGAACTACAGTGTACATAATAATTATAAACCCCTACACCATTACTCACACGAACAACATCAATATGTTATTTTTTTTCTTCAATTTGTCACATTAATTAAACTTTTGAAATGATAAAGGCATGTTAAAGCAGCCTAGAAAACATTCTCAATTCAGTATTTAGCGTACAATATTCTAATAGTTAAGTATAAAAGTCACCTCCACCGATTACAATACATTATTGTACTGGCTTATTATATCACCACCATCAAAAATTAATGTCAAATGTTACTGTTACGTTTACAAATTTCAATAGGCGACGAACTAGGTTCGTAGGCACGTACATGTACTTGCTGGTTGCTTAATTACAATCATACACATGCTCTTTTTAGCAGTCGGGTAAAACGAACAAACAATCTCAAACTTTGTCATAGGCACTGTACACAGTAAAATTCACGGGGCTATGATTTGTGCATTTATGAAACACAATGTTAAAAACAAGGCAGAAATAGGTCACTGCACGTTATCCAGTACATCCTCAAAGTGCTTGAACAATGTGTCACACAAATTATTTCTATGTCGTATTTGCCAGCCTTTCATACAGCGTGAGGTTGGAAGACTATCGAACATTTTTTTATTTTTTTTTATTTTTTAAATACAAATGTCGATCATTATTCATTTTATTCTTGCTTTCATATACGAGCAATATTCATACTGACCTACATGTCAGAAACATCTTATTTTATTGAGAGACAGATTAAGGGAATTACATTCTATATCACATTTGTATTACTCGTTGATATATACTTAGCTAATTTCTAGTGTAAGAACATTATCTCAACTACGCACACTTTCATACTTTACAACATGTTATTCATTTCATTGTCAATAAATCAGCAACATTTATATTTACTTACTTTGAGAACTACGGTGTACATACGGATCCCTACACCATTACTCACACGAACAACATCAACATTTTATTTTTCGTTTCTTCAATTTGTCACATTAATTAAACTTTTGAAATGATAAAGGCATGTTAAAACAGCTAAGACTACATTCTCAAATCAGTATTTAGCATACAATAGTCTAAAAATTGAGTTTAAAAGTCACCTCTACCGATTTCAATACATTTATCGTATGGATAAAAATATTACCACCACCAAAATTAATATCAAATGCTACTGTAACGTTTATAAATTTCAATAGGCAACGAACTATGTTTTAGGCATGTACATTTACTCGCTGATTTCTTAATTACAAGCATACGCATGCTTTCTTAGCAGTCGGGTAAAACAAACAAACTCAAACTCTAACTTTTTCATAGGCAGTACACAGTGGCCTTCATGGGGCTACATGTAATTGTGCATTTATGAAAAAGCAAGGTTATAAACAAAGCAGAAATGATATTTGCTCGTTACCAAGAAAATCCCGAAGGTGCTTTAACAATAATATTAGTCATTAAACATTGATTTTTATGGCATATTTGTCAGACTTTACATACAGTGTGAGGTTGAAGGGTCATTGAAGAAAAAACAAACACGTTTTACCTGACTTTTCTAGCCTTGTGCAGCTCAGTGGAATGGCAATAGAGTACCGAAGCTGTGACATCATAAACATCTATTTTTATAATCTCCCATTTTCTTCTTTATTTTCCAAAAGAGCATCAAAAATAATGTCTGAATGTCGAAAACCAATTGAATATGTTAAGTATTTACTGAGATATGAAAATCTGAATAAATATATTTCCTATGGGAACTCAGTTTTATAGTGCTCTGGTTCAGCCCTATAACACCGAGTTCCCATAGGACGTCTATTTATTCAGATGGTCATATCTCAGCCAATACTTAACATATTCAATTGGTTTTCGACATTCGGACATTATTTTTGATGACGTCACACTTCACCACTCCATAACTTCAGGAATAACTTATTTTCATACTCAAAGTTCGGTGAGCAGCTCAAATTTGGGTTAAAAAGAATGTATGTCGACTTCGTGCGCATTCAGAGCACACATGCCTTAACTATCTAGCAGCAAAATTGCAAAGACTACAATCCCTGTACATGTATATCCAAAAGTGCACCAATTCAATATTTCGTCATGAAAGTGTTACCAAATTTTTGCTCTTACTTTTATAGAATATGCAAATCATAAAAATAACTTTGCTAGGCAATGGAAAGCACATTGCAAACACCAAACTGTCTATATCGATCTACTGTTAAGTCTTTCCAAAGTAACCTCTTATCTTAACAAAATAGGTGGATACTACAGTATTTGACTGACATATTGCTATCACATACCTTTGTAAGTATTACCAAGTATCTTTTTAGATTTTTTTGGGCCTTCAGATGGTCCGCAGGTTCCGTCTCTAGGTCTCTTTTTGACTAGTGTCATTGCTGTGTCAAGGAAGTTGCCAGGCTAACGAAAATTAAATAAACAAAACACCACACAATTAAATTAGTTATTCAATCCTTATAACAATGACTTGTCATTTTAAGTAAATTAACAGATTCAGCTTCAGATTTGTTTATTTACGATTTTCAAAGAATCATGCAAACAATTAAGCGCATAACATCAATAGTATTAACAAAATTAATACATTTCTAACAAAAAATGTTGTGTTGCATAAATATGAGTTAATAGTAATAAGATATAATGAAGTTGTATAATACATCTAATACACAAGTACAACCTTGAGGATATTTTTTCTTTGAAAAGAGTAGCACAAGCTGAAAGGCAAGGCTTGTATGATAATGTCCAAATTAATACGTAGTAAGAAAGGTTCAAAGTTTCTATAGTTGCATGTCCACGAAGAAATTACAATAACATAAAGGCATTCGATAAACAAAAAGGAAAGTTGTATGAAGCAGAATGTTGGTGATTTTCACATGATTCAAATGCAATGATAAAAGCAGAGTGTGATCTGACATTTGCCGTGCTTCATATCATCAATGATCTTGCATATGGCTTAGGGTTAAAATCTCTATTGTAGTGTTACGCCCAATATATACGATAGCAAATTGACTGCATAGCTATCCTAAAGCACATTTAAGCATATATTTCATGGTATCTTCCTTACCTTTGGTTTACTGAACTTCTTTTTGTCACACCATTCAGCGAAACATCTCTCGGCCTTGGCAACATTCTCCGCATCACGATTCTTGCAGTACACACGGATGTAGCGCTCTAAAAAATTCTCTGGAAGCATCTGGGACACCTGATGTCAATGAAACATACATACGTTATTATTTGACTAACATTTTGTCCCTGCATGACCTAAACATTAAATCAGTTTGTCTATTCATTCCTGCCAGGACTCGGCAAGAGGATGATTCCTTCGCAAGGTGATTTTGAAAGTGGATACCTATAGACCCAGGCAGTAAGGCCAGGGGAAAACTTGTCAAAAGTAGCCAATGGCCGCCACTGCCCCTCCCTCCATACTTATTCCAGTTTTCAAGAATACCACAAAATAATGTATGAATAATGGGCAATCAACTCTTTATAGGCTACCCTTCATCATCACTACCCCATCTTTCCTCTAATCAGTATGTCTACCTCTAAAGCATAAATCTTTATGCTGAAGTGGACTGTATGAGTATATGCCTTTTGGTCATTTTAAGTTACAGGTGATCGAGATTCAGATTAGTTGTCCCGTGTATAATACAGCAAGTTATTTTTCATTGGTACACGCAAGGTACACGTTCATCATGTGCTGATAGCCAGAAGGGTGTAATGGCAAATTACATGAAAGTTTTGATAATTCATTACCTCTCCTTTGCCGATCTTTATCGCTGTGTTCGAGTTTTCCTTGGAGTAGAACCTGACGTAGTCGACAGGGTTCTGGTTCCCCATTCCATAGTCCATCTTCACCACCTGAAAGACAATAACAATAGATAGGGAAATATTAGTAGGTGTAGTGGTACCATCGATGGTATGCTCAGCTTTCGGTCTTTGTCTATAAACTGACTCTGATGGACCCCCAGCTGGAAACTGTGTCACTTCTTTCAGATGCATGTGACGTTGAAGGTCGTTCCCAGACGTAAAACAATCATATCTGATTATTAGCACACTCCTGCAAAAAACAAATCACACGCACACAACCGTATAGAAATGAATCATTTACATCACTGTAATTTTCATGTGATTGAAATAAAAACAGCCACTCCTGCACTTTTCACCTCATTGACACTCATGGTGTGGAAATCTTTCTCAAGAACTAGCAAGTCACTCAGGGGCAAACTCCCATTTGCACTCATGGGAGAAGACACATGTTTCATAATATAAACCCCTCAACATTCCAAAAATCTTTTCTTCTACTCATTTTAAGCCATTATTGAGTTGAGTTGAGTTGAGTTGAGTTTATTGATTTCACATTTCACATGCAGAAATAATACAGATAACAAAATATACATAAAAGACATATTGTTTCATAATATAACAAAATGATTATATTAATTGACAAGGTAATCATCACATTTGTTTGACAACTAATATCATTTAAAGGAAACCCAGATAAAAGTACAAACTGTGAAATGTGCAGGAACCTATAGAAAAGCAGAGCTTGTAAAGAATAGGTTCCTGGGCGACTTGAAAAATAACAGGGACAGAAAATGTTTACAGTAGAGAGAGGTACACAATTAAAATTAAGACGGTAGTAGTTTGACAAATAGTTGTTTGCGAGTTCAATACAATACAATACAGAGAAAAGAAAGAAAAAGAAATACATTAAACCGAAGAGTAGTAACGAGCCAATAAATAGCAGAGTATGCACCATACATGTTTGCACCACCTGAACGTTTACAAAAGCCGAACAATAGAAATCATGAATTATTTATTCCTTTCCTGTTAAAATCCACTTAAATGTCACATACGCAAAAGAAGGCCTAAAATTGCAAATGAATTGTAAAATGAATTGTAAAATGGTACACGTTATAAAAAAAGAACATTATACATGAAATGTCTAATCATCATTATTATTGTAGGCATTCAACAAATGTAACTTGAGTTTATATTTAAATTGATGAATAGAAGAAGAGTGAAGTAAATCAGGATGAAGATTGTTCCAAAAAGACGGACCAGTATATACAATTGTTTTTTGAGAAAATGAAGTGCGTAAACGGGGGATTAAATCAGTCCAAACAATAAATGAGATTTACCCTAATGGCCAAGAATCAATCAGTTTGGAGTCGGTGTGTAGTCATGTTGGTGGTATGACCAAGGTATAATGTAGTAAGTTATGTATATATTTTTTAATTTCATAAGCATTAATGAATTCCACCAATTCAGCCAAACTTTGTAGTAACTTTCCTTTATGACTGAGGCCACACTACTCAAGTCAGTAGGGAATGTAGTATCGGGTACTTACATGTACCACCAGGTCATCTGAGTCAAGCTGGGGGCCTTTCAGCTCCTCCTCTGACACAGCTAGACAGATCGCTTTGCTGATTTCCAGTGGTTTCTGGAAAACATCAAGAAAACAAATGCATTAAACAGATGTGTAATCCCATCCAGTCCAGAAGGAATTCAATATAGCACCTTTCCTTACAGTCACCAATATATACTGCACACATTACTCCTTATGTTTGGGCCACTTAAACAATAATATGTCACTTAAAAGAGGTGACTCGACAATCCATTGTCCTCTACCAAAATAAATATGACTTCGGAAGTTTATTGAACTGGTCAACAGAGGAAGCTGTCTTCACAGTTACCATGGGAAAACACCATACACACATTTCTTGCTGATTCAAGCATGAACATGGTTGCAAAACGACATTGCCTTACGAACAAAGTAGGGGAATAAAAAATGCCTTTCCCAAAATTGATGGTCATTTTACTTGGATTTTTTTTACCTTCTTTCTAATGAAGTACAAGCCAATGACACTGTGTCAATGATATGTTGTTGGGATTGCAGATCTCAGGTGTTGCACTCTTTTGTAGGCCACCCTCTTTCTTCTTACCTCTAGTTCTGTGTCTGCTGTTGGTTGTGTCTGTCCCACACACTTGTAGAGCTTTCTGGTGAAGATCTTTTGAATTATGTCTTTGGATTCCTTGAGATCCTTCTCCTGTGAGAAGAGGATATGTTCTAGCACACTGTCTGTCAGGTGTGTGTAAGCATGCATGTCATCCAATGACTCAGACATGGTCAGCTTTCTCCTGTTATATGGTATCAGTTTAAAAACAAATTCTAACTAGATGGAACTTCGACTGCGCAGTCCAAAATGATGCCTTCGCCATAGAGCGATGTCACAAACCACAACAGAAGCAATTTTTCAAATTCAAGTTTAATTGTAATCCATTAACAGGTTCTCAGAATATCGTGATTACAAGCTATTTTTCATAAAGAGGGAAGTGCAAGTCCACTCATTAAAAGCACAATTCAATGTTTTCTGTGATAAAGGACAATAGTTTGAATGTTATATACACATCTATAATTCAAATACTTCAGAAACTCTTTGAAAATATTCACAAAAAATAATTTTTGTTAAATGTGTTTCAAGGGACATTTTTTCCTCGATTTTTTTGTAATGGTTCAAAATTGAAGTAAGGATATGCAGGGGAACAAAATGGGCAAATTGTATACAAATTGTGCTACAAAAATATTTCACAATGTATCTGAGAATGATTGTTAAGTCATTGTAGGTATGAGGATGCAATATTATGCTTTGAAATCACTTTACAATCTCACTCCACTATTTAAGTCTTTACTTAGAGCCACAAATACGTGTGGGTTCCTTATGGAACTGGGACACCTAAAATGTCACAAAGTGGGTCTCTAATTTATGGAATTACCCATATATCAAATATCACTTTTCTTACCATTCATAGCACCGACTCGATTGTGCACCACTGTCCACATTAATTCAATCAATAACTTAAAGATGCATGTACATTGCTTTTCTCATGACATAAAGATATGAATAAAATGTATAGATCATAATGTACTAGATACTGACCCATTGGCTCCAGGGAAGATCCTAAGATGTGGATCAGCTTTGATCAGGGCCTCTACCATCCTGCATGGAGAAATAAAGAGACAGACACTAAAAAGATGCAGTTATATATTTTTGTAAAGGCCATTTTACAAAGGTAAGATTCAAGATTCAAGATTTTATTGTCCATAATATAATACAGAAATTTGTTTTCCATTGGTATAACATGTAATACATAAAACATAAGACAAAAACATGGTGTCGTGTGCTGAAAGCCAGAAGGGCGTCAAGACTCTATAAGAAAAAGTATGTGAGCAGGTACGGTTCTCCGGCTTTCAGCACAAAACATGACAAGATAGTTATATGACTTATACATAGCAAGAATTTTATAAACAATTCTGAATCACATCATGAATAAATTCAGGTATGAATATAGATGTGAATATGAGCAGCATCACAATCGAAATACGAGCAGAAAGATAAAGGAAAAGAGAGCTCAAGCTCGAAGGACTGATAGAAGAGAGAAATATAGGGAAAGTTGGTAGGGGTCCAAAGGAAAATGGGAGAGACAGAGAAGGAGAGATGGCATAATTTCCAATCAGATTATAATGCATGACATAAATATACAACAAAAATCAGCAGCAGAGCTAAACAACGGATGTTTTGACCCCACAAAGGTGATAAGGCGGAAAACTTTCCAACCCAATCCCTACAATTGACTGGGTGGGTAGAAAAAAAGTTAACAAATAATCATAATCGCTATTATTCAGCTTAAAGCTGAGAATTTCGTGTTACTTTTGCATTATAGATGTGCATGGAATTTGGAATAAAAGAATTTCTGTATCTGGCTCTACGGGTAATTGGTACACGCAGGCGGATTCCTGAGCGGTTAAAAGTAAAACAAGAAAATAGTGGATGTGATGGGTCTTTCATAATAGAAGTTATTTTAGTCAATAAGCGATCTTCAAACAAAACTGATAGGGGTGGTAATTCAATGCCGATAATACGTTGAGCAATTTTCCTAGGACGTTCGAGTTTAGTTTTGTCTGCTTGTGTGAGATTTCCATAAAAACAAATGAGATTGAATAGAAGAACACTTTGAATGATAGACTGATAGAAAAGATGCAAGATCGTCCTGTCAACGTTAAATTTTTTGAGCTTCCTTAGAAAAAACATCCGTTGATTAGCTCTACTGTGTACAGCGTTGATGTTCTTATTAAGTCGTAGCTTATCATCAATCAAGGTACCAAGATACTTATATTCATGTACGTGTTCGATTGCCTGTTCATGAATATACAAAGGGGTATGATTTACGTCACCACGTCGAAAGTCTATAATAATCTCTTTGGTTTTTTTAACATTCAAATATAGGTTGTGTCGATCGCACCATTCAACAAACTGATTAACTTGACAAAAATATTCATTCTCACTATTTCCTCCCTTAATAAAACCTGTTATGGCAGTGTCATCAGCATACTTAATAAATGAACAACATTGACTGGTACTAGTGCAATCACTGGTATACAGTGAAAATAACAGGGGAGAAAGGACACACCCTTGTGGAGCTCCTGTATTGGTTACCAAAGTAGGGGATTTAATATTTCCAAGTCTTACTGATTGTTGTCTATTTGTTAGAAAGTTATGAACCCAGAGCACTATTTTAACATCAACCTCCATTTCTATCAGTTTATTTATTAAAAGGTGAGGAGTTATGGTATTAAAAGCACTAGAGAAGTCAACGAAGGTACATCTTACATATGATTTGGGGATATCTAAATGACTATATATTCCATGAAGAAGGACAAGAACAGCGTCCTCAACTCCCCTATTCTGTCTATATGCAAATTGAAAGGGGTCAATAAAATAATGAGCCAGCTTGACTCAATAGATGTTTCAAAATCAACCTTTCCAAACATTTCATGACATTAGATGTAAGTGCTACAGGGCGAAAGGCATTCAGTTCTGTGCTGCTGCATTTCCTATTCCCTTTTGGAACTGGTATAATTGAAGATGTTTTCCATATTTGTGGTATTACACCTAGATCCAAAGTTAACTGATATAATCTCGTAAAAATAGGAGCTAATTGTTGATAACAAGTCTTAAGAACCCGATTTGAGATGCCATCAGGTCCAGTGGCCTTGTTTACCTTTACTCTTCTTAAGATGTTCCTTACATCTAGCTCTGATATTACAATGCCAACATTACTTGTGATTTTACTTAACAAGGATTTACTCAAGCATTCATTTTGATCATGAAAGTCATTGCAGTCAAATCGTGTATAAAATAAGTTTAAATCATCTGCAAAGTCCTGGTTACATTCGGTCATTTTCTGTTTGCTCTTATAACCTGTAATCGTTTCCATAGCTCGCCATGATGCGCGACTATTGTTCTGTTGAAAGTCTCGTTCCAGCTTACATTTATATTCGTGCTTACATTTATTAATCTGACGATTTATTTTTCTTTGTAGTTCTTTAACCGACGAATTATTGCCATCAATAAATGCTTTCCGTTTATCCTGTAGTAACTGCTTCAACTCACTAGAAACCCATGGCTTATTATTTGGATATATCTTCACCTTCTTGCTTGGTATCAGACTATCAACGCAGAACCGTATGCAAAGCGTAGCATCCCCTCGCAGGGTACAAATGGCCTATATGCGACAGAACAAGTTACCCCATTGGACTATACTATTATATTACTAGGCGAGGAAGTTAACCACATTTTCACATATATGATTAGGTGTTTTTGCATATTTAATGAGCTATGACCTTTCACCTTTGACCTACATACTCAGAAATCGAACTGAGGCTGTACATGTATTTTGATACCATGTACCTTCATATCAAATTTTATTAAAATCCGTCAAACATTACTAAAGTTATCGATCAGAAACCAGATGTGTATTTTTTCGCATATTTAATGAGCTATGACCTTTGACCTTTGACCTACGAACTCCAAAATCGGACTTAGCCTGTATTTTGATATCATGTACCGTCATATCAAATTTCATTAAAATCCGTCAAACATTACTGAAGTTATCGATCGGAAACTAAATTTGTTACGGACGGACGGACGGAGGCACCGAAGGAAGGACGGACGGCAGCGTTACTATATCCCCTCCGACTTTGTCGGCGAGGGGATAAAAAAGCAAATAAAGAAACATATGGGTTCCACTGAGAATTGATAATCTAAAACACTGGGTTGGTCTTGAGCCTACCGTGTTACTATGATCATAGCTGTATTAAATATCAACCTTATATATTTACGATTGAAATTAAACAATAAGACTTTGACAAAATATCATGCATTATAATGAATTGAAAGGGGACAAAAATGTCCCCTGAAGAGAAAAGAGAAAAAGAATATATTCTTGTGTCAAGCCTTCTATATAGAACATGTTTAACATTTTATTAGAAAAGAAATAAGAAGATATAAAGGAGTGAACGAGAAATAAGAAATATACATAGAGTCATAGACTGACAAACAGAAAGCAATGATAACGAAATATACAGAGAAATGGCAACAAAAAAAAGACTAAATGTGTAAATGTCTAAACTCACAACTACCTTCTCAGTTCTGCGGCCAATTCCAACGTGTTTCAGATATGGTACCAGATCATCTGAAGAAATCTATATTCCCCGTCAATCCCGAACACCATGAACGTATTTTTCAAAATAATATCCGTTTTACCGATCCTAAGCTTTGGAATGATTTACCTGAACCTATGAGGAAATCTGTGTCTCTGTTAATGTATAATTTCAAATTACAGTGTATAAGTATTAGCCCTATACCCGATTAGGTTGACGAGTGTGTGTTTATTGTATAAGGGGATGTGTATGTATATATATGTGTTGTATGCATGTGAATAATTATGTAAACATATATATATATATATATGTAAACATATATATATATATGTATATGTATGTATATGTTGTATAAATGTAAGTGCTTGTATATATATATATATATATATATATATATATATATATATGTGTGTATATATTTGCATTCAAATATTTCAACATTATACCCTTCACCTATATCTTGCCGTTATGTTGTTTATGCACGCCATACACTCCATTGCTACTATGTTGCAGTCCTCTTCTTTTCTCTTTCTCCAAGCTCTCTATCCTCCTCTCCCCCTTGCCTATCCCTTTCTTCCTATCTTCTATTTATAATGTATATGCATATTCGGGCGTACCCATTACAGGCTTTGCTTATCGGGATTCGCGCCTTCTTCCTTGTAACACAGGTTCTTTAATTAGGTGGGCTGTATATCGTACAGACCACCTATGTAATTTTGTTAGAATTGCCTTTATTTATTAGGTGGGCTGTATCTAATACAGACCACCTTATATTTTTGTTAAAATCGCCTTTATCATTTATTATTTATTTATTATCAGGTGGGCTGTATATAATACAGATCACCTTATGTTTTCGTTAGAATATTTTTCTTATTTCTAACCACTTTTTTTGTGAGCACGATAACTTGAAAATGGCTCTATCAAATGCCTAGAAATTTGGCATGAGGAAAGAGCACAATAAGGTTTTCAACCTTGACCTTGACTGATGACGTCATCTAGGCGCCATTTTGTGAAAATCAAAATATGATCATATCTTCATAACGGAAAGACATTTCTCATTCATATTTATCATGATCAAGGTCAATATCAGTCCGGTCAATTTCAGGTATACGCCATTATTATCAATAGCGTTTTATAAACAGTCGCGCACATGCGCATGCGCGCGCGTTTTCGTTTGTCACGGCCGAACGCAAAATAATTCCTCCTAGATTTTTTTTGACACAGTATTCCTCATTTTTCCCGAACAATTTGATACCATGTTTATCTCTTTATGACCAATTATAATGGAATGAGCGTCCGTTCAAACTGTTTAAACTCTTGTAATACATAGCATATATGGGCAACAACATGCCTATACAAAATCCATTGTAGCTCTTTAGGATGCAAGGTGACCCCAATTTTTTCATATTTTAATAGAGTATAAATTGGAGATATGATTTCATGTCTCATTTGACCCTCAATTACCACATGACGTCATCATAATGGCCTCCGAACTCAAAATGTCAATTTGCGTATTATGCATATTTTGACGTCAGCATATTTTTGGAAATCGATTGTATCTCTGTGAATATTGATCGATTTACTTTCAAATTTTGATATGTACTAGCTGAGACAATTCTCTACAAATGCAGTTAATACGATCCTTCATTTTGACATAGGCATCATGGCGTATTTTTGCGATTAAAGGAGGCATGTCAATTTTTTTCACATTTTGCGTGTATTCTCTATGGGACATGACTTTTTCTCAAAACTGGATTCTACATTCCCGTCTTTCGCGAGCAATATCTCCGTCGTTTTAGCTTCGTTTACGCTGAACTTTGAGTATGTTGTAGCTGAGACAATTAGCTATCTTAAATGTGCCATTCATTTTGTCTCAAATTTTAGTTGGACCAGCCCACCTATACTTGTTCCAAACAAGTATTACAAATCTAGTTATATTTATGTTCCTTCGTATAAATTGTATTATTTGAACAGATGTCAAATATGTTGTCAAATTGAATGGAAGAAAATAAATGTTCACTTGAATTGAACTGAATTGAAATTTTCTAAGATAGCTGGCTTTCCTTCTGAAAGGAAAATGCAGAAGAAAAAAAAATCGCAACATCAAAACCATGCAGTGACCATGCGGCAGTGATGTTGAAACGGTGCTAACAAACAATCAAAAGAATACAGACAGCGTGGTACTTAGAACTTTCAACAAGTCATTTAAATGGGAAATCATCATGTGATTACACTTGAGCATTCTAAACGATTGTCATTTCTTTTGAAGAATACTTACATTGTTTCAATGATTTTGTTTACTTTGTGCTGGTAAGCTCGCCGATGTAGGTTATTTCTTGTGTGAAACATGTCATACAGATTGCCTATCTCCTAGAAATATATTGTAATATAGAGAGAGGGGGAAGAGAGAAAGCGAAAAAGAAAACAGTTACTTCTGTAATAAAAAATGTAATTGAATGTCTTAAGAGAAACTGTCGGGTTTACACAAATATGTTGTTTTGATGGGGGCAGAAATATGGCTGACTTGCACATGTTTTTCATATAAATTCCAAGACTATCAACTTGATAAAGTTGAAGTAATTTTGAAGTTCTTTTCTCCCCATGGATTAAAAATAATTGGACCTTAAAGGTCATAAGCCATGATAAAGTTATATGGTTTTAAGATTTTTGACTTCTAGCGCAATATGAAAAAGACAGAATCAAAATTTCAAAAAAATGAGAAATTGTCAATATCACTTTGCATCATTTTAAGAAGAAAAAAAAGGAAGATCCATGAAAACATATATCTCTCAATTCTCAAAAATGAAAACCTTCATTTTACCATACATTACCTTGTCTCTGCTGCAGATCTGTTTATCCCCGTCTACCTCGATGACTCTGGCAAACTTCATGTACCTCTTGTGATCAAAACTGCTAGCTATTCCAAGGTTGAGACAGTCGCGGGCAAAGTAATCCCATTTATCCACATCGATGCCATTCCTTTTGTTAGCCACGATCTCATATAGGAAGCTTTTCTCCCGACCTCGTCCTTTGTACAGCCACACATCATCGTTCTAAAAAGGGTAGAAAATTGAGAACTCAATGGATACAAAATATAAATCCAAACACGAGCTACATGTACCCCCTTTATACTCAGTGCACCAATGTAAAAAAAATACTTTTCTATTCGCAGGAGTTCTTTTAGGATTTAGAGTTGTATAAGAACATTTTTCTCACAGTAAGAATGTTATTGTTTTTAACCAGAGCTTTTTTTTCAATTCACCAGAGCATTTTTTGGAGCTTGTTAGCTAAACTCTGAATCTCCTCTCTAATGATGCCCCTAAAGCTGTCATAACAAAGAGGCTAATCTCTTCTAAAAACATCGCTTTCTGAAAAACTAACATCCGATCTTATTCATCTATTCAACAAAAAAGGTACAGTACAAACATTGGGAAAAATATGTTTTATGAACAAACATATCTTCATCACGATGCTCTAGTGTTATATCATTAATTAAGATGTAGGGGTAAGTAATACAAAGTTTGCATTTACAAATTCTATAGAAACTCCCTTCATTGACATCAGCTATTATTGAAAGCAATATTTTGTTTTTGAAATACTACATTATATTCTACGAAATAATTACCATTGTATTATTGTATTTTCTTTGTCCCTTTTTTGTGTGTAAATGTTTAGGTTCATCTACCTTTACGTTTCTGTAACTTTTTTGATGATCAAACCACTTCGTAATTTTCTTTAGTGCATTTTCCATTTTATTGGCTTATCTATGTTTGCAAGAAATATTTATTGTATTCTTTGCCTTTGAATGTATTTATGAAAGTGGTGAATAAATTCAATTCAATTCAATGTCTTAGAATGAGTGAATGGCCTTTAGTCCACATGATTTCTTTGATGATTTTGGCATAATTTTGACAAATCTCTGACCTGCTTCTGACTAGAGTCCTTAGGTAGCCCTTCAATCTGTTCTCTGATGAACAGAAGATCCTCTCCATCTAATCCATTCTCTTTCAGCTTGGCCTCTAGATGATTCTCCTCGATCAGATGATCGAACATCAGCACAGACAGGTGTTCATGCTGGTTAACAAAGTATCAATATGGTGAGTAAAGACGCATAGGTTCTTTTGTTGATTTTGACCCCATTCGGGTATTCATCTGGTAACAGTTTCCGTTAATTACTGGGAGTGGTCTTCGCTTTAATCGAAGTGTATTTTATGTAATACTATGCACCCACATAAGGAAAGCTCATCATCATGATAAATTTTCCTCATCCAAAGACTCTCCTTGAGACTAGAGGTACGCTCAATGAATTTCTAGGTGGGAAATCTAACTTCACAGAGTCTGAGACTTGTAAATACACAAGTGTTATTTCCACGAATTCCTGTGTCAGCGAATTATGACATAATAAACTGCAGAAAGTATGTCTTTAAGAACAACCTCGAACAATAATAACATACAGAGGAACATAATTCTTATAATACATACCTCTATCACCAAAAGACTTTGACAAAAATCAGCGTTTGTGCTATTTCTGCAGCCTCATGCATCAAATGTAAAAAATTGAATGCTCTAGTAAAGATTTATTATTCTTAATATGATTTATATAGGGAATACAATAGAAACATGAAATTGCCTGAAGTTGATTCCATCAAAGTTTTTTCAATTGTGTTCCGCAGAGTTTTAATGAAATAATTCGACTATCTTATTTAACACCTGTCTCCCTTTTCCATGTGCATTATGTACATTTTAATGAGGGAAATTTTCTAAAAAAATATATTTGAAGAAAAATAATTTGTACATTACCAATACGGAATTACATGAACATACTCCAAAATATATGGTCGTACACACATAGTATTTATTGGACTGGAAACCATATCATGAGATGGGACTATTTCCAAGGATGTGTCAAATAATTAAGTTACGGAAATGGTCATACTTAAATGTATTTGCCTAAACTTGACAAAATACAAATTTGAAGCGGCCCATCATTTCCTAGGCCATATCGTCATGTATTATACTTTTTTGATTTCTTTTCACTGTTTTCATATGAAACGGAATCGACCATTAGATTATAGAGACATTTTACCGCAATATGATAAAACACTTTATAAAAATCATGCAAGAGATATTGCTTTTTTGTTTAAACTCCATAAAATACTTGCATTCACCTTGTGTTTAAAGTCAGGTCTGACCTTAGGAATGAAGAATAGATCAAACAAGTGCGAGAACGGACCATGACCTGATAAAAAAAGACAAAGAATGGAACCAAAACGGTAATATTTACACTTTACGATACGATTTAATAGGGTAATACATGTACATCCTTACAAAACTGTCCTTGCCTGATCATGGAGCAGCCTATTCTCTCAGACATTAATTGCTTTTCTGTGATCTGTTACAAACCATAGTATCGAGGGACCAGTGAAGACGATAAACAGAAACTTTATTTGCCAGCTTGGATGACCAAAGCCCTTCATTGTAGGCTTCTTTTGCACAGAGAAATGTGAAATTTCTGTTCGTGCCAATGCTGAGGACTCAGTTACCTATAGACCAGGCCTTCTCAACTGGCGGCGCGCGCGCCACTTGTGGCGCTTGCGGTTAGTCGGAGTGGCGCGCGACTGTTGCAACAACAAAACAAAAAACAGAAAAAAGAGAATGCCTGTTTTATTAACAAACAGGAAGAAAGGGGGAATTTATCGTTTTTTACCATTTTATACGAATCTAAAAGGTCTGAACAACAATTAGCTTACGATGAGATATTTCAACATTGCCAATATCTGGAAACCTCTCGTTTTTGTTTGTTTAATTTCACTTTATTTTGACATTTCCCGTGTTTATTGCACACAAAAAAACTACATATAAATATACCTCCAGTGTAATTGTACTCAGGAATTTTACTAATTTTTTCACATCAATATGAAATTATGAGTGATTATATTGTGGAATGAAATGGTGCTAAAAATTCCCCATTTGGGCCTTTAGAAAGCCCTAAATCTACCAGCTTCAGGTGGCTCAGCCCCCTGCTACCCATGTTAGGGCTTCGCCCCTGGACCCCACCCATTTTCGGCCCGGTCACTACGCTCCCTCGCAGCACAGTCGACCTTACAGGGTGGCACTTCAACTACAAATTCTTTTTGTTTTGGCACTTCTAATAAACTAGTTGAGAAGGCCTGCTATAGACCTAGCAATCTAGAACTTCCCATTTATGCAGCAATAGTTGAGATTATATACCTCTCTTTAGAAATCTAGCCATCTGATGGGTCGAAATTGCAGTCGTAATTTTAGCCATTCCCCTAATACCCGCCAACCAGTCAATAGTCTTTTGAAAAGTGCCCTCATACCCGCCTACCGGTCAATAGTCTTTACAAAAATGCCCTCATGCTGCGATCCCCATTGGTTTACGTGTTAAAATTGTTTTTGTGCGGGTGCGGACACCATACAGTGCTTTTTGTCTGCGATTCCCAAATGATTGAAACTTCCAGTCATTTTTAATTCTCTTTTGATAAAAACTGTAATTTTCAACAACAAAAATCTTAATTTCAATAAAAAGATTCAAAACAAAGTTAAATTTCAATTATTTTTTTAAAAATAATTTTTTGATGCAGGATATAAACGAATATACCATGCCTTCTTTTCGAGATACTGGTTAAAACTATGGGCCTCGGTGACTCCGATAGTATCATTTGCTTCGGGTCACCTCTTGTGCATAGTTTTAACCAGAACCTCTCAAGAAAGTGTATATTTTTATACTATCTCATTCTCACCTAGATCATGACAAAGACCAGCAATCTGCACACAGAGGATATCTTTGTCTGTGATCTCAAGCTCTGGTTGATTACGTTGAAGAGAGCGGACAAGCTTTCCAGCAAGGTAGCACACACTTTATAAATGATAGAATGAAAATCCTTGAATGAGTACATTTACATTAAACGTCTAAACAATTGCTTGATTTGTTTTGCCATATTAATATAGTAAAAACACAATTGATGATAGTACTTATATTGCATATTTCTAAACCGCTCCTATACACGTAACGCATGGTGCTTAAGGCATTCCAATATCACCTTCGCTCAAACAAGGCTTATTATTTTGGTGCTCACAGCATAATAATTCCTTTTTATCAGAACATATTTAACACCCGAGAGGAGAATGGCAAATGTAGACACTAGTGTTGCAAATGCATTTCAAAGGAAAGAAAAACAGACAAAAAGAAGAACTAAAATGCTTTTATACTACAAGAACTTATAACACTGGTTTGAATCATATACTAAATGAATGAAATATTATCATTCCCTTGGCGGTGAAGTTTCCTGTGCTTAAGTATACAGATGTAAAGAATAAATTATTTCACAACTATTACATTCATCACAGTGTACAATGTAGTTGGCAACCTAGCTATTTAACATTATCTGTTTTTCTTTTGTGAAACAGAGAGAGAGAGAGTTCAATGTTCACACTTCCTGTGACTACAGACGTTAGTACATGGAAAAAAAAAATTGATATCCAATCTCAGCTGTAGCAATTAGCTCCTTTATCATCCAAACTCAACAAACAATGATGGTGGGTATTCATTATAATTGTAACCAAACAACAAGAAAATATTGATTTTGTAGTTACCCTTATCTTAGCATTATAACTTCAAATTTTAGAAATAACTAGATACATGTACATGTAAAGCAAAATGCTATGACACATTTTTAATGATGTTCATAGCCCTCTAATATATACTTACCCTAGCGAGTGTTCAAAGCGATTGTGTGCAGCTCCTGGAAAGACAAAGTAGCCACCGCCGAGTTGCTTGATGAAGCGTAATCTTTGAAACTGTGGCGTGTCTATGATCATGACCAGCAGTGGATGAAATTCAATATGACCATGAACCGAGTCATTGAAAACCTGGATGAAAGGCAACACACAGACAAAAACATGGCTTTAGTATAAAGTGTTCAATATAGTCTTTGAAACAGTAGAGGATTGATGATTTTGATCAACATAATTCCTGATTTTTTTCCCAATTAGAAATGTGGTGCTTACCTTGGCTTTCAGGCTTTGATGGGAGTTTCCTGTAAGTGTGTTGATGATTTCCAAAACAGCTAACTTCTTTCCCATTTTGCTTTATCAAAAAGTGAATAATTGAAAACATACAGAAAAAACATACTTGTATTAGTGCTACACAGCCTGCACCCTAAGAACTCATCTATTTCAGGAAACGTTTCCAAGGTCAATGTTTGTTATAAACTAGTGCAACTGCCATAGGAAGAATAGGCTTACCAACATTTAAGGCTGGAATGAATATCCTTTCACTTACATGACTGAATAAATATTACTATTATTGTCATTTTTGCTTTCGTTCGTTTTGTATTGTGATGTGAATTCAAGTACATTTGTATAGAAAGTGCGCGATATATTATTTTATCATTATCATCATTGTTCTTTGAAAGTTCGTACATTATAGTAGATTCAGAATTGTAATTCATCTCTAATGGCCACTTCGAATGCTACAATTCCACTGACAAAAACAAAATCAAAAAGATCTTCCTTCAAAAACATTGTTGAACATAAATAGCAAGAATCTTCGTCATTTCATAGTGAGAAGAAAGTATATTGCATACAGGGTGCTACGAAACAGATTTATATTCTGATATCAATCAAACTTGCTATAAATGTTTGTTCTTACCTAACTCCCATCGTTCCCAGTAGTTCTATAGTCATCTGTGGCAATTGATCTCCACTGATGTCTTGATCTGATGTTAAAACAAAAAAATCATGTGAATACTGCGTTCCAGTAGAAAGTCTTATTTTATGTCCCACAAACTGTGACAAAATCTTATGGGAAAGGTCTTTTTCATATGCAGCCACTGTTTTATGGGACGACTTGCTGGAATACCTTCAATAGAGGCATAGAGATATAGAAACATATGAAAAGTTAAGTAGTAATTTGAAAACATATATCTATTTAGCACATTGTAAGATCTTATAATTATGAATCCAGTGCACCATTTCCACTCCTTCTGTATTATGTAATCTGTTCTATAAAGCGCCTAGAGACATGCAATAATGCCTATGTGTTATGAGCAGCTATACAAAATATTTTATTATCATATGATGAGGGACATTAATGCAGCTGACTAAAAATGAAAGTTAGAACAGGAAGTTAAATTATTTTTTGACAGAAGCAAATATATGACAAATAATGACCGTCAAGGTGGTGGAGTCGCCATCTACGTAAGCTCCGACTTCAAAGCCACACCTATTGAATCACACCTTGTTCCCAACCATCTAGAGTTACTATGGTTAAAGCTGGTTCTCAGTAAAACTCGTATTCTGTTTGTATGTGCTGTGTACTACCCTCCCCAGTCTCCGTTGAAAGATGAAATCATTGACAGCCTGCAGTTTATGGTTGATCATTTAAAGTCACAACATCCCGATGCGAAGTTCATGATTTTAGGTGACTTCAACGACCTTAACACTGCTCCTCTTCTTGACGAACTAGGGTTTCAACAAATCGTCTCGAAGCCCACCAGAGGTCATAACATCTTAGATAAAGTCTTCACTGACTCCTCTGATTTATACAAGGAACCTGTTGTAACCAGCCCCATTTCAACTAGTGACCATCGAACCATCATCATCGACCCCATTAATGTAATTCTTATTTCTGCGCCACGTAAGACGACAATTCGGCCTATGAGGGACTCCAACATCCGTACCTTCGGCCAGTGGCTCACATCAGAGGACTGGACTTGTCTCAACAAATGTCGTGATGCTGTTGAAATGGTAGAGTCCTTTGCTTCATCACTTCGAGCTCGCTACCTCCAGATCTTCCCACCAACCTGCGTTAAACGTCGCTCTGATGATAAACCCTGGATCACCAACCGAGTTCTTACGATCATCTCACAACGTCAGAAAGCTTATCTGCTCGGTAATATCCCATTGTACAAAACCCTACGCAATACAGTTCGAAGAGAGATTGCTAAGTGCAATCAAAATTTCTACTCCCGAAAAGTCAAGAATCTTAAGAAACAGCAACCGGGAAAGTGGCACCAGAAGATTCGTCACCTCGCGGGTCTCAAGAAGACTAGACCTACGTTACCCGAAAGTGACTTGGCCCCTGTAGATCAAGCTGAAAACATCAACAACCATTTCGCTTCAATCTGCTCGGCTCTAGCTACCCCCTCTTCTTCCTGCCCCGCGACCACCTCCTGTAATTGAAGCTCACCAGGTCTATCAGAAGCTTAGGAATATCAACCCCCTCTAAGGCTTCGTACAAGGATGACCTTCCGGCAAGACTCATCCGAGAATTTGCACCTGAACTAGCTGATCCTCTTGCTCGTATATTTAATGAGTGCCTACAATCCGGCGTTTTCCCCGACCAGTGGAAGCTATCCAACATAGTGCCCATTCCCAAGGTGAAACCATGCCAGTCTTTCGACCAATTACGACCGATTTATCTAACACCTATCTTTGCTAAGATCTTTGAAACCTTCCTTTCAAATTGGATTACCCGCGACATCAGTCACAAGTTAGACAGTCAACAGTATGGAAATATTAGGAACTCATCGACCACTCACTAACTTGTGAGTCTTGTGGACACTATCTTAAAAGGAACTGATAAGCCTGGCCATGTTGCATCACTATGTGCCATTGATTATGCCAAAGCTTTCGATCATATCGATCACAATGTTGTTGTTAGGAAACTTATCCAACTTGGTGTAGACCTATCACTTATTCCAGTCATTTGTAGTTACCTTGAATGTAGATCACACTGTGTTCATATCGGTCCTATTGTCTCTAATTTCTCGAATGTGACATGTGGAGCCCCCAAAGGCAGTAGCCTCGGCCCGGTCCTTTTCTTAGTCATGATTAATGATGCTGCCTCTGATACACAACTAAGATGGAAATATGTAGATGATCTCACAATTGCAGAAGTTAGGAAACATTCCTAACCTTCTAACATCCAATCAGTAATCAACAACCTCTCTACTTGGTCTACTGATAATAGCATGACCCCTAAACCTGAGAAATGTAAGATAATGAATGTTTCATTCCTGAAAAGACCTACTGTATTTCCGAACTTTCACCTTGGTGCAAGCCCTCTTGAATGTGTAGATACTCTCAAACTATTGGGTGTTATTGTACAAGCTAACATGAAATGGGACATGCAAACTTCTCACATGACCAGCGTAGCTGCTAAACGATTATATATGCTATGTATCAGGGGCGGCGATTTCTTTTCATGACCGGGGGGACGAAATGCGAGGAACGAGGGAGGAGTAACGTAATGAGCAAAAACGTTTTTTGGGGGAGAGAAAAAAAATCCGCATCATCACCGCTCTTACATGTTACATGCAGGCCCCAAGGAACGTTTTTCAAATTCGGAGTGAGGGGGGGCTAAAGTATTTGCAATTAGATAGAGCAAAGCAACTGGGGAATAAATTGGCGTGGGGTCAAGGGGCGGAGCCCCATGAAGCTCAGAGTTTTAAGGCATTTAATAAGGGTCAGATGAGCATATTTTGATACCTTATTTGTGACACTTACATGCAGGTCATTAATCGGGGGCAAAGCCCCCAAAAGCTCGGAGTTTTAGGCATTAAATTACGATCAGATGAGCATCTAGGGGCCGCCTTAGGGCCCTTGGTTAGGTCTAGAGGCGGAGCCCCCGGAAACTCAGGGTTTCAGGCTTTTGAATATGGTCAGATGAGCATATAGTGGCCCGCTTAGGGCCCTGGTGGGGTCCAGGGGGCGGAGCCCCCGGAAGCTCAGGTGTTTTCGGCATTTAATTATGGTCAGCTGAGCAACCAGGGGCCCGCCTTAGGGCCCTTGGTGGGGTACAGGGGACAGAGCCCCCTGGAAGCTCAGAGAAAATCATGCCATTTCAGCAACATTTGTAAATTAGTCACTGGTATCGAATTAGAAATATAACCACGTTTGAATTTTATCGGGAGGGGGGGGGGGGGGGACTGCCCCAAGCCCGAGTGAGTGAGCATAGTGAATGAGAGGGATGAAGGTGACGAAAGTGACTACCCCCTCACAGATTTTGAAGTTTTGTTGTATTTCAAAATTACATTCCTTAGCAAAACTATAATATGAAAACAAACAATGTACTTTTTTCACACTACACTTTTCTACAATATTTACTTGTACAATTTGAAGGATATTATGCGAGGGGGCAAAGCTCCCTAGCCAGAAGATTTTTGCATTTGTATTTGTCTAAACGCTGCACTCTTGGGCTCTCCAAAGCCTAATAGTGTGTTGCAGTCTTTAGTCAGTATTTGCTGTACATTATTTGTTTGCACTTTTGCAAATTTTCCAAAAATCGAGGGGGGGGGGGGGACGTGTCCCCCCCCCGTCCCCCCCCCCCCCCTGGATCGCCACCCCTTGCTATGTATACTCAACAAGTACAAAGCCCCTGTCGGCGACTTGCTATCGGTCTACCTGATTTATATCAGACCAATACTGGAGTATGCCTCCCCGGTGTGGTCTCCAGCTCTCACAGTACAGCAATCTAACCAAATTGAGGGCATACAAAAACGTGCGTGTAGAATTATCATTGGCTACCACAATTACACAGACTACGCAAATGCTCTCGAGGTTCTTAACATCATATCACTTGAGCACCGTCGAAAACAATTATTAGAGAAGTTTGCTAAGTCCATCATAAGCTCTAGGCACAGTTCGATGCTCCCACCTCTCCGAAGCACCCTACCTAATTATCGTCCCCTAAGATCGAATGATGGGTTTCTAGAACCGATGTGTCGTACCCAACGCTATGAAAAGTCTCCTCTACCCCAAGTCATTAAGACTCTCAATAACCTAATGTGAATTCCAAAAAAATGAATTGTATTTTATGTACTCTTTAGATCTGAAACAACGTGCAATACTTCATTAAAGCTGTATTTTCTGATACATGATTCATAATATTGAAAATATGCGGGTTCTCCCATTAATAGAGGTGTCAACTTTTCCTGAACAATTAGCTTCACATGTTGTGAATCTTTAGACCTAATACATGAACAAGGTGCAATAGTTTATTACAGACGTATTTTCTGATTCGTTAAATTGAAGATATGCGGGTTTTCCATTAATAGAGGTGTCAACTTAGCAATTAGCTT